CAAAAAATGAAAGAGATTAAGAAAATGGCATTTAAAATCAGTCATTAAAAAGAAAAGCTAATAAAATAAACATTAAAAGAAAAAATACATGGATAAAATGTAATTGAACTATTCATATCTTAGACTGCACTGTAACTTTTATCCATGTATTTTTTCTTTTAATGTTTATTTTATTAGCTTTTCTTTTTAATGACTGATTTTAAATGCCATTTTCTTAATGTCTTTCATTTTTTGTAAAGCACTTTGAATTGCCTTGTGTTGAAAAGTGCTATATAAATAAACTTGCCTTGCCTTGCCTTACAGTAATATAAATAATTATTGACAAAATGTACATTGCAGATGTTAGCCACATTGGTAAGTTAGCTAAAAAGATAGCCATATTAGACAGTTATCTTTGCCATTAATTGCCGAGGCGCAGCGGCAGTTGCACTCCCACTTTCAGCCATGCTTCTCGTTTTCTCACATGCTCTGGCAGCTAGCTAGAGCGTGCTTGAGAAAGGGGAGGCACTTAGAGCGTGCTTGAGAGGGGAGGGACTGCAGGCACGGCTGCAGTGCAGGGAGTAGAAGCAGAGCGCTGAACACACGCGAACATATTAAAACGGCGCTTTCTCACCGGAGACTTTTCCCCGTCATTCTTAAAGTACCGATACTAATGAAACGGAGGAATCGTAACGTTTTTAACTGCAGGGTATCGCGGTACCTTTCAAGTATCGGTACACCGTGCAACAATACATTCAACTTCAACGACGATTCCGTAGGAGAAAGAAGGTAAATATACATCCTATTCGATGGCGTTAGAGCTAGCTGTTGTTAGCCTCTGCATGCGCTCAAAATACCCAGCTTTGCAGCATTAATTACTATGGTATAACATTAAAACTGATGCCCCCGCCTCCGACGTAAGCGTGACGTATGCGGTGCTTGCTTTCTAGACCGACAACTTTTTGGTGCTTGAAACGAACCGGATTCCGGAGCTTAGAGGCGGCTCCGCTGCGGTGTGAACAGGAAAAACCGGTGCTTTTCAAGCTCCAGCTCCGAACCGGCCCTGGAACCGCGTTGATGTGAAAGGGGCATTAGTTACCCTCCATTTCAGCACTCGTCTGAAGAAAAGGGAAAAGAGCTCTTTACATCCATTTAAGAAATAAATTTAAGTATTATATATAAACTGTAGACTGGGATTACTTCACCATCAACAGCCAAACCCTTTTAAACTGTGCAGCATCAATACTCACTAATACTCCACTGTATATATTGTGATATACATGTAATGTAGCGATATAATGTACACATTACATTCAATATACATATTTTTTTCTATTTCATTGTATCTTTTTTCGGAAATTTTTACTTTAACTGTTTATTTTTATATAATGATCTCAATTAAAACAAATATACAACACCTTTTTGTATTAACTTCTTAAGTTTATGAAAATATTCACATTCTATTTTATCATTTATTGGTCATTTTAATCTAATTGATGTTTAAATAAAAAATCTTTATTTAGTTTTTTTAATGGACTATTTTATTCTAACTTCTTACGTTTATATAATTATCTAAACTCTATGTTATTTTTTTGCACATCCCTACCTTAACTTCTCATGTTTATACAAATATCTGCCTTCTATATTATTTTGGAATGGACATTTTAGTTATTTATTCATTTAAACTTGTATTTATTTAATTGTAAAAGGGCACATCTGTCACAAAACCCCATTTCCCCCGGGGTAAATAAAGCATTCTCATTATGTCACATTATGTATACTGACATTATGATAATCTAAGAAGTCAGGATGCTTGAAATAACTCAGTTTACAACGACGTGGGGCCAAGGAAGCCATAAAGAAGCCCGGTTTGAAAGTGTTTCTCTGGCTGATTCATCAAAGCTGAGAAAAGAACAATGAGTGTTCATCACGAGGAAGGCGGGCACTGACTGATGTTTTTCTCAAGCTCTTCTTCCCGTCGGCAACTCAGGCAGCAATTTGCCTGTCATGTGTGTCACCGTGCTTTATGGACATGTGTTGGAGACCAACGAGAGCCGATGACTGTTTTTATCCCTGAAGGACTTTCAGAGGCTGCCATGGGAACTGAGTGAAAAGAAAGATTTCAAGTCGCACCGAAATATGTCAAAGTTAAACGCAGAAACTCGTCTTATTGTTCACCGTTGAAACTCTGCAAATAGAATCTTTGCAGGATCAGAATTAATAGAGCTCGGGATTTTTTATGGATTTCAAAAAATGTATTTCTTTAAGAAAATAAAAGAATATATATATATATATATATATATGTTAATAATTTAGTTTTTGGGAGAAGGGGTGGGATTGAATAAGTGTAAACTTCTTCCCACCCCTTTTCGGATGTGTAATTAAGTAGATTATTTGTTTATAGTATACATAACTTAGAATCAGTAATATTTGTGTATAACAATTTGACACTGCTTAATTTTGTATTGTATAATAATTATCATGGTATATTTTTGTATTATTGTTTTACACATTCAAAATAAATCAAATCAAATCAAATATCAAAATAACTGGACATAATATCTAAAAAATATTTAAATACGATGCAAAAAATCCACGAAATCCTCTCAAATATCATAGGAGCGAAAGCAACTGATTTACATCCTGAATCATAGCCTTCATTTATCACACTGAGGGTCAGGGACAAACCTAATCGTTTAATACTTTTGGAGCATGTACTTGTGCGATTACATGTAAATGTGGCATCCTGGACCTCAAAATGCACGTCTATATTTTACCATATTGCATGCTGTCATATGACCAACACAAATCATTCTCTCCATTAAGCAATGCTCTGACTTCAGAAACAGCTCAACCCGACACTTTATATGCTACAACAGAGCCGATTTAAACCTATAAAACATTCACTGTCAAATCAATTCTGAAATAAAAAAGCCTAATTAAAAAAAAAATCCAGCACTTCATAATCAATTCACTTTCAGCACGGCCACATTTGTGCCTGTTACACCTGTTTGCTTCTCTAGTGACTCATTACTCTGATAAACAAAGTGCTAATGTGTTATTTTGCAGCAGCCCCAGACAGAAAGCAGGTCCAGGTGGCACTCGAGTACTTAGAAAACTGTTGAATAATCTACAGGCCTTAACGCGCAGCCAAAGGCAATTTATCAGAGTACAAGTTAAAAGATCTGACAGATCTCATATTGGTCTTGTATAAGTTCACCAGTATGTGCTCATATGCATATGATTAAGTGTTCATATGCAGGAATCCTGAAGTCAAATGTAATACCTTTTTTTTTAAGACCCTTTCCATACATTTTAAGACCTCATCGTCACTTGGAGTTTTAACCGGTTACCTTGGCGACACACTTTACCTCACATTGACTATATATAGAATTGATTGTCCTTCCTCCTTATCTTCCAGCGTGTCTTCCATCTCCTAACCCTCTTCCAACCATTTAGACGCAGACTTGCATTTCCCCATAACGATGTTTAGCAACCGGCGTAAACGGACCTTCGCGCTATCAAGCAGTGAGCGTGCGATGTCCTGTTCAGATGACGTCAAACCCAACGGGATGCCATCAATAAACTACACAGAATCACACTACACACCTACGCCATGATTACATTCAGGCAGACTGTAGAATACAACCTCTTTGGACCATTCATATACTTATTGAAAACAAGCTACAACATTTAACATTTAAATGTAATACTTTTTAATAGCCTTCATTTTTGCTAATTTGATTTATCAACTTTTAATACTTTTTAAAACCCCGCGGACCCCCCGTCATGTATGCTTTCCATTGACAATTAAAAAAAAAAAGGTGGATTGAAACACAACGCTTTCATCATAATGTCAAGATCTCCACGTACTGAACGCTAAACCTCTGAAACCTAAAGCTCCAACACTAAATCAGACCAAACTATATCGGTGCAGTTAAGGCACTGCCCAACTGTTTGATTTATAAAAGGATTGTAAGGCAGGGGATAACTTAACCTGATGTCCCAATATCTTGCACTTTAGTTGGAGTAGAGCTGATGCAAGCATTACTACCCGGGGGTGGAAATATATGGAGGTTTAAAAACATTTTGAGATAACAAGCGTTTGAATGATAACAACATCAAATACTATATTGTTGTTGAGTTTGACAGTGAGTAGCCTGACTACATTTGATTGATTTGGATTTTACTGATCCGTATTTGTGACATTTTCAGGATGTTCTTGTACAAGAGAGTTGTTATTATACATTTTGTTCTGAATAAGTTATCACGCATTGGTTTTATTACTTGATATCAAATTGGGCTGTATGTGACCCATACATAAAAGGAGTTTGACACCCCTGCTCTATAACCTCCGTGAGTATAGGATGTATTGCAGGATGATTGTAGAAAGACATCTGCATAAACCGAATAAACTTGCAAATATTATAGCTAATTTTCATCCCCCAATAAACACTATCACTTTCTATTCCAAAAAGACACCTATTGGTTATTTTTATGACTGAATTTATGACGTCAACGTGCACCTAAATCAGATTTTAATACGCAGCAACCCCTTGAAATGAGTCAGTCATTAAATTATCGCAAACAACTCAATGTTAAGTGCTCTGATCAAGGTTACTATTGCTATGATGAGTAGCAGAACATTGTGAATTTATTACTAAAGTTATATTTGTCGCTTCAATGTCACTGCCCAGATCTCATTCAAAGGCTTTTATGTGATCACGCTGCTTGTGTCAGACCACACCTGGATTGATGTTAGATTGGTGTTCTTAGGTTCGTCTGCCAGCTAGAATCAAGATGATAAGTGAGTATTTGATTATGTATGAATGCAATAGGGATATGTGCAATAGGGAAAGTGCTGTACCTGTATGTTTCTTGTTTGTTTCTTTGCCATGTGATATGTGATCTCTGTTCTGTATCTATGACTAATTGACCTGAATGTTTTATGTGTATTATCTCGATGCCTAAGACACATTGCTCCTAAGGGAGACAATAAAGCTCTATCTTATCTTATTTACCTGGTTCTGCAGCAGGGGAACAGTGACAGGGCTGGTTGCAGATGTTTCCTGCTGCTCATCCTCAGCAGTGCATGTCAACTGGTGCTGAAGCACTTCTTCCAGGGTGTTGAACTCCTGGTAGCACGGGAAGCACATGTACACCGACGAACTCTCCAGGGCCTCCAGAGCTTCCATGGCTGCCAGGGAATGAGAACAAATTACATTTAAAAAACAGAGCAATGCAAAACTGATTTAGTTCAAAGAGGAAACAGTTCACAAAACCCACCATGCTTAGAATATAGAAAGTAATATCAGAACGTGAGCCTTATACAGATGCCTTCCAACCATTGCATTATATTAAGTTAGGTTGTGAACATTGCCCTCTCCTGATGAAAAGAAGTGCCTGCATATATTATCAAGGCAACAGCTTGGACACAGCGGCAGGAGGCGAACCCCGGGTTGCCAGGATGACTCACCGTGCCTGAGCCTGAGCTAATTGTTATTTTGACCATGCAGGTTGCGGATCAGGTGGAGACCTCGCCAAGTCTCTATTTTCCTGCCAATTCGTGGGCTGAACAGACATTTAGCTCCAACATCAATTAGATATGTGCTGTAATTGGACCCACTGGAAGTGCAGTCTAGCACATGCTGCTGCTGAAAGTAGCTATAATCAAACACAATCTCTGCAATCCGTCCGACTCTCTGGATACCAATCAGACCTCTGACTGCAGCTGCAAAGCTCTCCTTTGAAAAAATAACCATATTAATCAGAGAACCCCTCGAAAGACCAACATATCAATAGCTTTGATTGACACCAAAGTGACACACCTTTGTTGATCATTTTCATTGACAGACAAGGCTATGACTTTAAAGGATAAGGCCGCTGGCAATATTTTACATTTTGTTATTGTCGACAAATCCCATGACAAGAGAAGATCAGTGCGATGTTAGTCTGGCTGTCAATGCTTTGTAACTTCCCCAGTGTGTCGGTGACATCTCATGTGTTCCTACTGACATCTTTAAAAAAGGGATTAAAGATAAAAAAGGAACCTTAGGCGCTTTCACACTGCGGTACTTTTCCCACAAAGGTTCATGTGAACTCAGTTCATGTGAACTCTTTAGTTCGCATGAACTAAGTACAGATCGCGTTCACACTGGAAAAAGTCCCTGGGGGTGAATTAGGCAAATGAAGCCGCTGACGTCACTTGTTCTGCTTTGGGTTTACTGGCAGGCCGCAAACCACTTCACGGCGTATACTGCCACCCGGAGTCCCCGGCCGGAAGTCCCCGGAGTTGGGGACTGGCTTCAGTAGAAGCTGCTGGGACTCCCAGCAGCTTCTACTGAAGCCTTCCGAGTAAATCGCCAGAACGCCGACACCTCCTCATCTCCACCGCTCCCATGTTTTCTTTTGTGTTGCCATAAGTTAGTCTCTCTGCGTTTCTGCGCTGGGCTAATGCTAATGCTAATAATGCTAATGCGAGGATAATAAAATGGCGGCTTCACAAAACTTTTTGGGAGTTTTGCGGGGCGTGGTTTGCAATCCTTCCAGCCAATCAGAAATATAGCTCTTTTCTCACAAAAGAGCCGCTCGAAAGTCCCTGCTCTCTAGCAGGGACTTTGCTGCTCTCTAGCAGGGACTTTCGAGGGGGTAAAAAGGTTCACATGAACTAATTTTAGTACCGGCTCTTTTTGGTGTGAACGCGATAAAAGAGTTCACATGAACTAAGTTCACATGAACCTTTGTGGGAAAAGTACCGCAGTGTGAAAGCGCCTCTTGTCTAAAATAAGTAATTGCCTAAAAAAGTTTTAGAAAAACTAAGAATCAAATAGAGGGTTTTATTGCATTGGGGAAGGTTTTCAGAGGCAGGTTCAGTGATTAAGTGAGTTTTTGAAGCAGCAGAACAGTATTTTTGGGATTAAATCATTGAAAAAGTCATTTTAACTTGAAGTTTCATCTCATCAAATGCAATATTTTGTCTCGCTGAAACATTTTCCACAGTTTTATGAACAACAATGTGGATCTATAACTAATTATCTTGCTACAGTGGCAAAACGTGTTAGTGGGATAACTTTAATGTTGATTTTGGTTTTGTGTGTCTTGTTTATGTATGAAGAAAATATTGAATATAAACGCATAATTTAAACCATAAAATATTGTAATAGTGCCTCATTACCCCCTGTTGGGAAGACAGTCTAGTAGTAGGTGCTTTTTTCTTCACAGCTGAATCTATAATGTCAGGTTGATTGGTCAGATAAGATACATTTGTTGTGCCTTTGTATCTCCAATATGATTTAGAAGAAAGTGAGTAGACTGACTGAATGTGTTACAACTGAGAGATTTTGATCTTTCAAATCTTTATTTGTGACATTTTCAGGATGTACAAAAATATCTATATCTGAGTTATTCTTCTACCTTTGACAAAATCTTTAATGTCAGGTTGAATGGTCAGATTTACACAGAGCCAGCCCGACCCATTAAGCGGCTTAGGGCCCTGCAGCCAGGGCCCCCTAGCAAAAATAAATAAATTCAGTACACCGTCGCCGTGATAAGTATGTTTAATTAATTGTGTTAATATGCCTAGATTGCCTACTCTCAAAGTCGTGTATTATATTATTGAGTCAATAATATAATACATTAACCGATGGCAGGATTGTAATTTCCCGTGTTCAGTGAATGCAACAGAGGCAAGACACCAGACCAACCAGAGAGTTGAATGGAAATTACACATCTGTCTTATTGGCTGACAGGTACCTATCCTGTGAGCTGTGACAATGTTTAAAATAAACTGTCAGTCGGACTCAGAGTTTTTGAAGATGGACATAAGAAAACATTTTCTTAAAAAATACGACAATTCTCAAGAGGTGGCTCACACAACAACCCCAGAGCCACCACTTGAGCCAGGTAAACAAGGTATGTAAATGTCAGTAAACTTCCAAGTTATGCGAACATGTAACGGCCCGTCTACACTACAGGCATCAAAAAATCTTGAAGCTGGGCGTGTCTGAGGCTTGGCGATTTCTCGCGCCCAAGGCGACCAACAACCAATCACATGAATCTCCCGCCCCCGACATACAAAGCAATAGCAATGTTAAAACGAAGTAAACTGGATATAAAATCCCCAAACAGACGAAAACCTACCAGTTTCACCCACTGTCTCTGCCACCTCCCTCCATGCCTGGTTCCTCCGGTTTTTATCCCGGTAAATAGTTCTGGTCGAAAGAACCGGGTGATTTGCTACCGTAATTTCTCGTTTGGAATATGAGGAAATGAACTGCGGTCTGGCTCTCCCAGCTTGCACGCGGTTTGATTGGCTAGCGCTTGTACTGGTGGGATTTGCATAAACGGGATTTGATTGGCCGATGCCAGCTTCGAAAGCATCGGGAGCATCAAAAGTTGAACATTGCTCAACTTTTGATGCTCACGATGCTTGCAAAGCCATGCTCCGCTCCCCAGAATGCAGTTCGTTGAAGATTCAAAATCTTCTACGTCACCCCATTCAAATGAATGGGCGAAGCGTTGAAAGCATTTTTCTATGCCTGTAGTGTAGACGGGCCGTAAGCAAAGCATAAATAACAGCTACGTTGACGTTACTTTGAATCGCGGGGGTAAGCTAAACCATTAGCAAGTAGCTATAGCTAGCCAGAGATATTAAATAAACACTTTGTCATACAATCTAAATGTAATGTTTTTTAGCATTACCTGGTGATTTCAAAGAAAGCTCTCTGGGAAATGTTGACTTACTGTTCGACATGAAGCTAGAAGCTACCTTACAGTACACAGTTGATCCTGAGTCCTGTCAGTTAAAGTGTTTCATAGTTAGCTTAGCTAAGCATAAACCTAGCACTGAAATATATGGATGTTATGTGACAGTATTTCTGAGAAATAGTCACATGAAATGGTGGCATAGTTGCCACTGCTTTACCTTTCAACAGCATGTTTGAACGTATTTGCAGCAGTAAATGTTGCTGTTTCAAGCCCCCAGGAAGTGCGCCGGACTCAGATGAAAATATTCGTGCTGGTCAAACGGCGGTACTACATTTCCGTTTGGTTGCCAGGCCCGGAAACACTTTTTCCCATTGACTTACATGGGGAAAGAGTGGTCTGTAACTTGTTGGATAATTTTTTTTAAACTAAATAAACTACCCAGTATGAACACTTGTATAGCCCTTATTAAAAACCTTCGTTCCTCAAGTTGTAAAAATGTGCTAATAACGTTATTCTGAGAGTTATTTCCCTCTGCATTATGAACGCGCATAATCACGATTATTTGGGTCAATAATTGATATCACGATTATTTTGACGATTATTCATTGACCATTTATTGAACTTTAAAACAAATAATATTTTACCAATAAACAAGATCAACAAATATGTTGGAGCGCACTTCCAAAACCATATAAACATATATTAATATGATAAATAAAAATAAATTAGACCAAAATAAATGAAATCAAATATGTTGCAGTGCACTGCACAACCTACTGAAAACTCCTTAACATATAGCCAACATTTTGGTAAAACATATTCAACATATTCCACTCAGTTAAACGTTGAAGGCTGGCCAACCGTCATGGTCCAGAAGTAACAGGAAATAAATGTTGAACTACAATTTAAGACCAAATAAAAATGTTTAGGCCACCATGGTCACACCATGCTGGTAGGGCTGCTCATGTCATCTCTTAAAGATGTTTTGCAAGAAACACCAGCCTGTTGACATGGTCTGCTTTCAGAGATGAGCGCAGGCAGGGGACGATATTGCCACCTGTACTGAAGACCCTCTCTGAAGAGGAACGTGTGGCAGTGCTGCCACATAGGACACAGGACAAAAAGAAAAGACTCTGAACCCTTTCTTTGCCATTATATAAAATTAGTGTTGCTACAAAAGTATAAATTAGGCTTACTAATAAGACAACTCAGATCTGAAGCTACTCAGGAATCTGCTGCCGAAGTGCAATAAAAGACTAAATTAATAGAATCAAACCCTTTTTTTAGTATACAAATAAATACCTTTTTAAAATAGGATGCAAGCAACACTAGTTTCTTAACCTGAACTGATAACAGACTATAATCAATTTAAGTTTGCATTCTTATACCATTTTGTACAATAACTATAATTAATAAGTTCAAACAAACTCAAACTTACAGCTGATTAATAATGGTATCTAACTTGAGTTTTTATTATATCAAAAACCTGTTGAAATGCTACTGTTATTTTTACTGTCCCCAAAAAGCGCGTCGGCAGCCTCCAGGAATGCTTCTTTCACAACTTCGCCGTCTTTGAAAGACTTCATGTGTTTCTCAAGAACGTGACTGACACGATAAGATGCTCTGGTAGCAGCCTTGCTCTTGTTGTTGGGCCTGGTGAAAATGGACTGCTGTGCATTTAGCTGTGCTCTCAGGCCCCTCCCCTTTTGGGAGCGTAGGGCAGAATTAGGAGGGAATTCCGTCTCGTAGCGTTTGTACACTGTTTTGAAATGCCGCTCCTAAATTACCCTTCTTCGATAAAGCCACGCTCGCATTGCAGATGAGACAGATGGACTTTGAATTGGAATAGATACAAAAATAATCATCCTCCCACTCGGAGTGAAAATTATATATTTTGGGCTTTTTTGCTTCTGCCATAATTGTGGTTGTGTGCGGACTGTCACTGCACTGCCCACTGCCCACCAGCCACGCCGGCCAATCACAAAGCTTTGATGCGTTCAAGTGCATTATTCTGGCACAGGAAGATTATGTTATAGGACATTAACGATAACAGAATATTGTTGTTCTATTTTTTTACACATCTCGCGATCGACTGGGAATCTCCCCGCGACCCTTATTTTTAACGAGTTGCTGTTCTTGTTCTGACATCTTCGCTCGCGCTGAACACATGTCACTCCCACGTGGCCGAGTGGGCTTTTAGGGAGGGGCGAAAGCACACCCAGCAAAATAATCGTATTTTGTCAATTATGCTGTTTTCATAATCGTCACAAGCCATAATCGTAATCGCGATTAAAATACGATTAATTGCACAGCCCTACTGGGTAATTTGTGACGTTTCACTCTCTCAAAAGGTGGGCCATTTTATCATCATGCGCTAATGAGCAGCTCTCATTGAATGAATGAATGAGGCCCCGCCTCCCACGCTGTATCCAGTTCTTATTATACATCCATGGGCTGTTTGGCCACTGACGTTGCCATAACAACACCTGAATTGAAATGTGCAACCTCTTTTTGTGACAGATTTTTGCAAGAAATTATAATTCTTCTGAATGATATTCCTATTGACAGCTAGTTTCTATGTGAACATTATGAGATGGACAGCCAGAGAGAATAAATGAAAAACAGTTATGAAATACCATATGACAAAACAAGAATACAGTTTAAGTGATTTGTAAAATGTCCATAAAGAAAAATCTGTTTACAGTTCTGTTTCATATGGGTGTTGAGAGATGTATCCATAGATCTCTTCATTTTGCTCTCAAAGTGCACCAGATTGATGCTTTTAACTTCAACATTTAAAAAAAAAAAAATCTTCCCGGGGGGGGGGGGGGGGGGGGGGGGGGGGGGGGGGTGCATGCCCCCGGACCTCCCTAGAGGAGGTGAGGACCCCCTAGAGACAAAAATAAAACAAAAGTTGGTTCCGTGTTGTGTGAAGTGAGAACGCGCTAGAGTGAGGGGGGCCCCCAAGCCAAAGCTCGCTTAGGGCCCCCAAAAGTCTAGGGCCGGCCCTGGATTTATACCACTCAGTTTTTGCAAGACGGCTACATTAGATTTATTACATTACATGTCATTTGTTAGACGCTTTTATCCAAAGCGACTTACATACATTCAGTACTGTGGACAATCCCCACAGGAGCAACGACATGCTGACTGCAGTGGGACTCGAGGCCACAGCCTCATACATCTCGTAAAGACCCAGATTTGAAGTGATTTACTTCTGCTTTTAACACATTTACCTGCAAACATCAGTTCCTTTTTTATTTTATTGTTTTCATTGTGCATGTAATCATTAGGCGTGCTTAACATGTGCCATGAATGTTGGTTACATGACATGCAATGTTTAGGTAGCTGTGAGTGTTACAGGGTCAATGTCAGTCCAATATTGACCCAAAATGGGACCTACACACCAGTGGTCAAAATTAATTAAGTGTATTTACTCAAGCACTTAACTACAATTTTGAGGGACTTGTACTTTACTTAAGTATTTAAAATGGTTGCTACTTTGTACTTCTACCCCACTACAATTCAGAGGTTAATAGTGTACTTTTACTACAGTACATTTATATAACATATTTAGTGACTTTGTAGATTTTGATTAATAAAACACTTAAATAAGTATTTAGTATTCTGGAGTAACAGTTGCTTTTGTTACATTCTGCATTTATTCATTAGACAGGTGTACTTAACATGTGATATGTATGTGAGTTGCATGTCTATGGTTACATGACATTCAATGTTTAGGTAGCTGTGAGGGTTACAGGCAGGGTCAATGTCAGTGCGATATTGACTCACAAGGGGACATGGAAAACCAGCAAAATACCAATAATAAAGCCTCATGTTAGCTCATTTGACAGTTTAGCCTGTCTGACCCGAGCTAGTACCTTAGCATCCAGCTAGCATACTGTGTTACCTTTGACCAGTTACTGTGTTGCTAACATGCAACGATAGCCATTTTTCTAGCAAAATGGCTAGCGTTTCCCCGGCGTGGTTAGCTAGCTCTCTTGCTATATCGGAAGCTAATCAAACAACCGTGAGAACATGTATTTATAGCAGGGAGCTGTAGCTACATTAGCCGGTGTCTAAACCACTTTTTGCCGCTTGGACCAGTGGTGCCTAGTTTCTGGTAGAAGGAGAAGAAGAAGAAGAAAAGACACGAAGAAGGAGGGCGGGATACGCTTCTTCGGTGGTGTAATGGCGGCGACAGACTTAAAGTTACCATTAGCTGTCTCCCCCCGTCGAGAAACTCCATAACATGAATATCAATGAGCTATATCTCACCGAAACAGTAGCATTTATGTACAAATAAGTCAAATAAATGCAACATTACTCACCGCACTCAGACGTTACCAGTCGAGGAAATAGGACAACAACTTCAGTTTTTTTTTGCATGTTGGCAGGAGGGATCTAATTGGCTGTGGTGGTCAATTCATGGACCAATGAGGTTGGACTACACATAACACTGGGGAGTTTGTAGTCCAAAAGCGCGCGAGAGGGTCTGCGCAG